TGAGAAATGAAGAGAAATACTAGAAGTGATTATTGAAAATAATTCTGATTTCCTATCCAACATCTTTATGAAAATGAGAAAATAAACAAAAACTTCTACATTATTATCTTAGCTGGGACCCTTTCCTTTTGGGCATAATATTGAAGACATGAGGAAGGAAAACTTGTGATAACCCTTAAGACAATACCAAAAGCGTCATTGGAAAAAGTTTGATAATTTTTTATAAGGTTTAAGGCTAAGCCTTTTCTCAACACCTCAGATGACCCCTCCAGTTTAAGAATTTTTAAATATAGAATTTTTTGTTTTATAATTTCTATTTCATTCTTCTAGCCTGCCTGTCCATCACAGAGATGTTTTCAAAATCAGAACAGCAGACACCACACATTCGCTCAGTGGCACTGAATCAAATGCCTCTCGTGATTCTACAGAGCAATCGCCCTCCACCTAAAGCCGAACAAGAACAAGTGTGTCCTGGAGCAAATTAAGCCTTGAAATTTCACCGGAGACAAAAATGACAAAACATCATGAGAAGGCAGGGTTCTTTGGAAAAGACAATGATGCTAGAAATAATAGAAGGCAGCAGGAACAGAAGATTAATATGAGATTGACTCCGTTAAAGAGGCCATAGGCCTGAGTCTACAGGAGCTGAGCAGGACTGTTGAGAACAAGACACTGCGGCCTTCACTCATTCATAGGGTCTCCAGGGATCAACTTAATGGCAGGTGACTCACATATGCAATGCATTTCAGAGCTGCAATCTAGGAAGGTTTAACGCACTGGGGCAGCAAATGCTAATTTCTGAATTGGAGTGATTCTAGATAACACTTCTTAAGTGTGATTACAGTCAAGTGACTGGTAAAGCAGATTCAGGAGAATGTTTATCCAAAGGAATGCCTTTGGCACACTTTTAAATGGTGACCTTGTTTTTTGGAAATAATCACAGCATGCTAAATTCAATAAATAAGGTGGATGTCCACATTAGATAATATTGGTTTTGGTTTAAAAAACACACAAATAAAACAGACTTGACTATACAACAATGTTCTCCTCTCATTTATTAACTAAAAGCTTGTTGAGACCAGAGATTTGATCTGGGTCAAAGCTGTTATATACTTAAACAATTCTGAGTGATATCATTCAGAATGAGTTTTAAAGATAATTTCAAAAGGGGAACTCTCAAAACATTTTGTGTAATAGCAATGTTCCTGCAGTAAGTACAAGCTCCCTAAAGACAACTTAGTGTGGCAATACTCATTGAATTGTTTCAGTATGTTGGTCTAAAAAGCAAAAGAGCAGTCTTATTGCTTTATAACCATACCTCATATTTTAGAGTAAATTATAAAATTATTGTACCAAACAAGAATTATTATGGAAGGCTAAATCAAAGGTGTTAAAATTATTCTGAAACTGTAGATGCAAACTACAGCTTCTCAGATGGAATCTACGACCTTCATGGGTATTTTAAGGAGTTTCAGGAAAATAAAAGGGTGAATACTGAAGAACTCTAAATAGCTATTGGTAGTGAATGAGCCCATTTGGCCTGTGTGTTTCTTTACTTTTTTAAAAATATGTTTCTATTGATTTCAGAGAGAGGAAAGGCGAGGGAGAGAGAGATATAGAAACATCAATGATGAGAGAGAGTCATTAATCAGCTGCCTCCTGCATGCCCCTTACTGGAGATCGAGCCTGCAACCCGGGCATGTGCCCCGACCAGGAATCAAACTGTGACCTCCTGGTTCATAGGTCAATGCTCAACCGCTGAGCCAAGCCTGCCAGAGTGGTCTGCGTGGTTTTTAAGCATCTTCCAAGAATGAAACATAAGTGCAAAGAGCCTGTTGCACTTTTATTTCACAAATGCTAGAGAGAAATTTGGACACAACAGCACCTGCTTTTCTACTGAGGCTGAAGAAGTGGTCTTCTGGAAAACATGGTCCTGAGAAAGTAACAATCCGTGTAAATGAAGCTCTGAAAGTTAACCCAGTGTTTTCCAGGAAGCAGATGATCTAGATTGGTATGGCTTTTTCAAGTTCCTACAAGATAAATTGTTCCTTTCAGTATCCTAGAAATCAAGACTAGTATTGAGAAAGCGTGCTCTCATTAAAAAAAAAAAATATATATATATATATAGATATCGGCTTTAGAGAGAGAGGAAGGGAGAGGGAAAGAGAGAGAGAAACATCAGTGAGAGAGAATTGTTGATTGGCTTCCCCCTGCATGCTCCCTACTGGGGATGGAAACCACAACCTGGGTATGAGCCCTGCCTGGAATCGAACCAGAGACCTCCTGGTGCATGGGATGACACTCAGCCAATTGAGCCACACCAGCCATGCCAAGTATGTTCTCATTTAAAAATGGAATATGGCATAGTATTAAAACCTGGCTGAATTACCAGAAACTGGATCTTTAAAATAAGGGCTTTCTTATCAATATGTTTTGTGAAAACTAAAAATTTTTCTCAGATAAGGTGATTGCTGCAACAAGGATAATGTCTGCAAGAATGATATTTTTCCTGGTGTATGTTAGACACTCAAACAGTAGCAGAAGGTTATGAAGGAAATCTTTAGAATACAGCGTAGCATTGAGCAAAATAAAATAAAAAATCTTGGACACAATAAATATATTATCATCTGTTGCATATGTTGTCTTCTGGGATGATAATTTAGTCATCAAATTATGCTTTTCTGCAGAATGTTGGCTAATTTTCCTGGACACCCAAGAAGGAGCACAAAAAGAACAATCAAGATATTTACCCTTGTTTTGCAATTCCAGCAAGTTTTCTGAGTTGTGAGTCATAATCACTGTTTTAAATTATTTCAACTAGCTGCTAGATATACACTCTTTTATTTTTCTTACTCTTAACCTAATGAACTGTATTCCTATGAAAAACATTTTTATGCAGAACACATTTTTTAAAAAGCATACTAAAATTCAGGAACAAAGTGAATCCACTACATAGTCTAATTGAAAATGGGAAATGCAAAGAATAGTCTAATGTATGAAGCCTTCAGGACTGTTCCAGCCACTCAGTGAACACGTCTAGGAACATCTCCAGAACAGTGTGCCTCACATTTCTGCAGCCCTATCACTAGAGCTTTATTTATAGCTGAAACTCAGTCTGGCGCATGGGGCTTTTCTGAGAGTGTGATATTGATACCATGTGACAATCTGGGTGGTTGTTAATGGAGTTGTCAAAGTTGGTGATTTCAGAAAATGAGTTGGTTATTTTAATCAGAAATAAACTTTTAGAATTAAACAAGAAGAAAATAACAGAAGTTGACTTTTAAAAAAAAACTGCCCATTCTTTTGACTGGTGAGAGTATGGAGGAACAGGCGCCTTTATATTATTATTATTTTGCTACTAGGAAGGAAAATTAGTAACATACTGTACAGAAAATAGTTGAGTGATTCATATATCAAAATCCTCACAGAGTTGCACACTCAGTAATTTTAATTCTAAAACTTTATCTTGAGAAGATAATTATGGACAGGCATGAATTATGTATCAGGATCTATCAGACTATTATTAATAATATCAACACTTTGAAATTCTGCCCAATTAATAGTGGATCTCATAAATAAATTATATACATGAAGAAATTGAGTACTATACACTATTTAATAATATTGTAAAAGGAATATTTGTTATCTGGAAATTTATATATTTATATGTTAAAAAAGGCAGATTACAAAACAACATTAAATTTATTTATAAAAATACTGAATTTGTAGGTAAGAAGAAATCATTTTATATATCTATCTATATATATATAGATATATAAAATGATACCATTTTTGTAAGTATATGTACAGTTGGTAATTATTTACATATAAAACTGTGTAAAAATATTTTGAAAATATAAAGCTAAAGTGTTAAAACTGGCTGTTTTGGGGTGGTGTCATTAGTAGTGATTATTATATCTTTATTTTTAAAATATATTTTTAAAATAAAAAAATTCTTAAAGAGATGGTATTTTAAAGAAATCTGTCAATAAATGTATGATTAAATAATCAAATGCATTTTGAATCAAAAGGACACAAATTAAAACAAATACGATTGCTCCCAACTAATAAGTAAACACTAAAAATCATGATAAAATCTAGTTTCATCAGTAGTATAGTTAAGTATTATTTGAAACTAGCACAGATTCTGACACACAAATTCACTTTTAGGAATATATTATAGGTAAATTATCAGTCATACAATTATGAATGCAGATGAATTATTGACACATTTGTATAAAATATTGAAAAAGTAGATATAATAATAACTTCTCAACTAGAGGTTGGTAAAAAAAATACTGCTAGAAAATAGAACACATTAAACTGGTAAATATAAAAAATATAAAGATTATTTATTGACAGTAGCTATGTTCAAGAAGTATATTGCTAAAAAAAAAACCCCAGGAATTATACTGCTATGCAGGCGAACAGGCTATTATGAATAATCCATTTTATGTAAATGGATTTGGAAGAATTTGATCTGGAAGAATTGACTCACAAAGCCACATAAAATGATCTGGAAGAATTGACTCACAAAGCCACAAATGTTCTTTGCCGGTGGCACAATCATGGATGACTTTTCTCCTTTATATTGTTTTGTTTTGAAATTTTTATAACATGAACATGTGTTACTGATGTAAATATTAAGTTAAATATGCTTTAAAAGGATATAGAGTTGATGGGGGTCCATCGCGTTCGTACGATCTACGGAAAGACGCCCCCAGCCTGCGGGAGGACGGCGGGAACAGCCCCCCGAGGCGCAAGGGCGGAGCGCCCGGCGGGCCGCGGGGAGGCGTTCAGCCGCGCGGGATGCAGGAGTAAAATCCCTGCGGCCCTCGCGCGGGGCGGCCTAGTTCCCCTGGAAGGAACCGCGTTTCGGGGCTAAATGAAGCCTCCCTGGGCAGGGGTGTGAGCGACCACGCGCGGGGCGCGGTTTCTGCCGGCTGTCGAGTCAGCGTGACGCAAGGCGGGAACAAAGGCGAGAGGAACCCAGCACTCACCCTCGTGGTGTAGGCGGCCTCCGGGTCGTCCTCCAGGACGCGCGACAGCCCGAAATCCGACACCTTGCAGACCAGGTTGCCGTTGATGAGGATGTTGCGCGCGGCCAGGTCGCGGTGCACGTAGCCCATGTCCGACAGGTAGCGCATGCCCGCCGCGATGCCCCGCAGCATGCCCACCAGCTGGATGCCCGTGAACTGCGCGTCGTGCTTCTGCAAGGGTCCGAGCGGCGGTCAGGACGCGCTGCGCTGCTGCCCCCCAACGACAGGCGGGGCTAGACCCTCCCTGCGGCGCTGCGGCGCCGGCGGTGCGTCC